TCCAAATCGCATGTACACTGCCCACACGTACAGGAGGGTGCAGGCGAGATTTGATGAGCCTCTTCCCAGAGTGTGCGAAGTTCGGTGTAATAGGCAGAAACAGTATGTTTCTCTTGAGGAAGGAGACTTATCTGGCGACGAATTTCATAATGGTGGGTAGCATTACCTTGTCCAAAACGCGTCCGAAGATCGTCCCAGATATGCTTGCTGTCTTCGCGAAACGAATGCTACGACGCACTTCAGGAGTCATGGAGGCTTTGAGCCATCCTTTGATAGTAGCATCGCATCGAAGCCAGGCAGCAGCTTCGCGGGAGTCCTGAGGTTGCGGGAGAGTACCATCAACAAACCCTAACTTGTTTTTAGTAAGAAGGGAATCAGTCATGTCGATCACCCATTCGCCGTAGTTGTTCGCAGTGAGAAGATCGCCAACGTGCTGAGGATCTGTGTGCGGAAGGAAATAAACGGAATTCACATCCGAGGTAAGCGGCCGATCAGAGGTAGCCATCAATTTACTGCCGCTGGTGCTATCTTTCTCGGCGTCGCCCATAATGCAACAAGGAGAGAATAATCAATGCCACCAGAATCAACAGATAACCACAGGGAGGATGTTATAGCTCTGATACCATGATAAATTTAACAAAACGAAAAGAAACGACACACGATTTACGTGGTTTCCCCGTTCGATATGAACGAGACTACTCCACGGAGAGCAGGTGCTCTCAAGTTTTCTTATTATCGTTATTGTGTTACAGCTGCTGCAGCCGTGCCGCTTACATATATATATGAACCGAAAACCCCTCACCTCTAATCCTAGGGTTCGGATCCAGCCAAAGGCAAATTAACAAAGTCACCATAAAGAAAATAAACCAGGACAAATAAGTCCCTAAAGACCATGCACACTCGTACATGGGTCACGTGTGCATGCTTCACTACAGCTGTTGAAGTACTGAGAGAAGGTTCCCAACGAATAATTTTTGAGTACTTGTTTCGCTTACTTGTCTATGAACTATTTTGGAAATAAACAACAGTTCTGATATTTTTGTATCCTAGATATAGTCATATGGGTAACATGTATAGGTGAGTTGCGGATGCTGCCTTATGATGATAATTAGGGAACTGGTAACTTGTGACATGTGCAGGGTAGTGAGTTGAGCAGCTGATATCACGGTAATTAGTGCATAGAATATATATAAGCCATTACATAAAGTATGTTTCCTCGTTAAATGATAAGAAATTATTTGGTTATTGCAGATGGCTGTTACTACTGACAACATATCGCTTCATGCCTCAGATCATTACAAAAATGGCTACTAACTGAACTTATATAAAGTTGTGTATGAATTTTAAGGTGTTTTTGGTTTAACAAGAGTTTTCTGGTTTTCAACCTGTTTCAGGTAAGTACAACTACAAGAGCTACAGTCGTGTTTGAAATGACAGGTTATTGCATTTGATAGAAGAGAACGAAAAGTAAAGAAGTTATTGTATGTCTGATGTCCACAAGGTTGCTGCTAGCGAAGTGGAATTGAGGGTGTAAAGTTAATGGGTTTAAGACCACTGTTGCATAGCTTAGCTTTGGTGGTTACTCTTTTTCGTTTCCCTATTGTTGCTACTGCTGTTGAAAGTACAACTTCTGCTCCTCATTGTCCTAAAATTAACGTTTATTTATGACAGAGACTAGAATGAAGAGGAATGTTTAGGAATCTATTTGCACTCTGTTACACCCTGCTCTTCCCAAAAGAAAATGATTATTATATCGTTAGGTCAAGTTCCACCGTATTATCAATGAGAATTAAAACATGTGAACTAATAGTTCAAACGGTGTCGAGTTTTGACATGACGTGAGAAAATTATGGACGTTAACTGAGTTTCGGATTGAACTCACCCGTAATTTATTAAATGCCAAAAATACCCCCTGAACTAATTAAAACTTAAAGGCAATCTCCAAGCCCATATCCCACTCGGCCTCACCACAACAAACCCTAAACCGTCTCCTCTCTCTATCCCCTCGTGCAACCTTTCTTCCCGGGGCTCGATCGATTCGCTGCCAACGAGGCGGGTGCTCCTCTCGTAGGAGACCAGGTTGCTTAACCAAGCAGGAGACGGCCAAGCACATAATAGCTGAAGCATAATAGGCGGTGGCGGCGGATGAACAAAGCGTCAGAACCTCTCTCTTGTTCGACGGCAGTACCTCCCCACCACGAGAGGTGCCTGCTTGACGTGCATGTTTGAATGGTCACTGGTGGCTTGGGGAGAGATTTTTGACGGAAGCCCCTCCCTAGTACGAGAGGTGCCTGCTTGACGTGCCTGCTTGGCGACGGGAGGAGCATCGTCGTGTGGCCGGTAAATAACGCCAACGAATAATGACTTAATCGACGGCGGGAAGATCCAAGTCTTGGATATGATCACGAAGAGGACAATTCCAGGATCATCACGGTGTTGACGAATTCGAAATCCAACATCAGATGGGGGAGAACGGAGCCTCCGAAGTTTGGACGCAAAATTGGTCATGTTCAGATACCGTTCTTGGTAATTCAAAAAGTAAGAGCACTGAGTACGTAATTTTCCGGAAGGGTCAGGGTCAATAGGTTGACTGGGAGAAGTTCATATTTGGTATCTAGTATTTTGGAATCTAACATAATTCGTATTTTGGTCCTATCTTGTTAGTTTAACGTGCAAACGAGGAATCGTGGGCGCCTACGTGATCGTGGAGGCCAGGAGAATTTAATGGAAGCAATTCATGGAATTTTGGAGCAGAAACAGGGACGGTTTTGATGGATTTTAGGTGAGTGTAAAGGGGGTAAGTTTTACGCCTTACGTGTTCTTTCTAGTATTACGAGCTTTTAAGGATTGCGATGAAGTGATTGTCATACTTTGATTGTGCTTATGTTTGATGATATGTGCTTTGGTTCAGCTACGATTTGAAGTGAAGTGTGGATGAGTTTAGTTCTTATTTGAAGCTTTGTATTTATGAGTTATTGTTAAAGTCTAAAAACAAGTCCTTTTTTAAGAAGTACTTCACCTTCAAGAAGCTGAAATCGTTTTAAGTGTTTTTAGTCATTAGCGTCAGTCCGTTGTTATTTGAGATATTGAGATAGAGAAGCAGTTATGCTCTTGAGACTTTTAAGATAAGCAGCAGTTATGCTCTTGAGATATTTTAAGAAGAGCAGAGGTTATGCTCTTGAGAATCGTGGAAGAAGATCCTTCCACGATAAGTTTAAGTTTAAGGAAAGCATGGAGGGCTTCTCATACGTATGAGTTGGCAACTGGACTAGCTAGTGAGGGATCCCAGTGTCAGTCAAGTATTTAAGTCAAGCTTGGAGATTTAAGAATGGAGAGTAACAGTAACTGCCATACAATTTTAAGAGTGGAAGTACAAACAACTTTCACTAATTTAAGTAAGTGTTTTAAGTAAAGTGCTAAGCATTAGAAGTTTAAACGTAAGGGCGTAGACTGACCCCATCTCACTCAACAGTTTGAAGAGCTAGAGGAGCTAGAGGAGCAGTTAGTGAGCAGCGAGTTCGAGGGCAACTAGCTAGAGGAGAGCAGTATAAGCGTCACGGAGGATGCTTAGTCAAGGTTTTTAGTAGCAACAACATTAGAGATTATTAGATATTTACATTTATGATTATGAGTATAGACTGGAGATCATTTTGAGATTTTAAGTTTTGAGTTTGCCCATGTGTTAGGGCGTTGCTTTGAACTACAAATGCGTGTTTTCGGTATTTTATTTAGTAAAAATTTTCCAGCTGCAATTTAAGATTTGAGTATTTTATTTATCAAGGTCATTTTAGTAAAAGTAATACCCGGCCGGGTTAGGGTGTTATACACTCCCTTACAGAGCAACTTCTTTTGGCCTCCAATGATCTATGTAGATAGTTATTTTTGTTACTTATTGTCTCCCCTCAACTGTGTATTATCCTGTAAAGTCATGCTAAAGGAACCCAATGTTATCCGTTGCAAGTGCAAATGGAATAGGATCAATACATAGAGAATCTATCACTACTACATAGTACATAGCAACAAACCAATTTTCTTATTTCTATCACTTGAAGAGCATTGTTCGAATCGAACACCACTACTACAATGAATCACAACATAAACTACAAAGGCTGCAAATTTTAACAGAGTGCCACTACGCAATAGAACAACTAGATTCTACCCAAAAAAATAGCAAGAACGAAATGCAAGACAGCACTGGTAAATCAACATGGATGAGGAGAAGATGAGACGTTGCTGCTCTCAACTGGGCGAGGCACCAACTGCTACTGGGGCAGCTCAATAGTCACATTCACCTCAATTTTCATACCCTGCATCGAGCAGTAGTTCATGCAGTCGAGATGAAGTAATAAGGCCTCGTTATGTGAGATTGAACATGTCCTTACCACCTTTTGTTATGTTCATGACAAACCCTTTAGCACTGCAATGGTAGCCAGTCTTGTTCACCTCCAGCAAGTCGTACAAAATATTGTTGAACCTAAAATCTGCATGATTTGCAAGGTCTTGTCATAAAAAACCCCAAATAAATACCCGGGTGAACAACAAACAAAATGAGATTCAGTACCATTTCCTTCACCCAAATAAGCTGAATAGCTGAACACAAGCATAAAGAAGACGCACACCACTTAGGAGACAGATCAACCATGATTTCAGTGGCGATATCTCATGTTCGGTTCAGACACGGTAAGCTCAACTTGATGTGTGCTTGATGTTATTTGAAACACCATTTGGGCTCCCTTTATTTCGATAAAGAAAAAAAAAAATAGCATCCCATTTCGTGACGCTCTCATGGTAGCGCGTCACCCGAATTCCCCCCACCGCCCCCACACAAACAAACAATTCTTCCACTTCCTTCCCTGCCTTTTCCTCCCCATTTAAATATCACTTCCGAGTCCGACCACTGAAATTAGAAAGAAAAAGAAAAGCTTCGCCTCCCACCACAAATTCCCATTTTTTTCTCCTCCTCCGTCCATAAGCTCTCCGCCACTCAACTTCACCAAAAAATGAAGAACCCTTACAAGAAGGGCAAAATCCACCCTTCCCCGTCACCACCAACACAACCGCCGCCCACCACCGCCACCTTCCTCTCCCTCCTCCCGGCGGCCGTCCTCGCCCTCACCGCCGCCCTCTCCCCTCAGGACAAGGAAGTCCTCGCCTACCTCATCTCCTGCTGCTCCGACGCGGCCGGCCACCGGAACAAGAGGAAGACCACCACCGCCTGCGGAGATGGCAAGAAAGGAACGGCGGCCGATGTTGAGAACCACGGGCCCACTTTCGAGTGCAGCTGCTTCCGGTGCTACATGACGTTCTGGGGCCGGTGGGACGCCTCCTCCAACCGCCACCTCATCCACGAGATCATCGAGGCGTACGAGGCGGCGGCGCTGACGTGTCACCAGAAGCGGAAGACACGGAAGGGGGATCGGCGGCGTCGGGGGAAGGATGGAGAGTTCAATAATATGGGACCGGGCGGTCGGAAACCGGAATCGGCGGACCAGGTGGCGAGTCCCGACGCCAGTTACGAGGAGGAGGAGGACGGCCGGAGCGGCGGCGGCGATGAGGTGGACTTGGAGAAGAGCGCCGTGAGGAAGATTGTGAGTTTCGTTGGCGACAGAATCATTGGGATTTTCGGAGGGGTTTAATTGGAATTTTAATTATTTTTCTTTTGATTTCTTATGAAATTACTTTGAATAGATTTTATATTTTCTTTTACACCCACTTCGACTGATCCAAGTCTTTTTTTCTCTTTCACTTGGCGGAGAATTCTGACTTCTTCTTCTTACTATCATAAAACCATCAAAAGACCCTTTCCCATACTGTAAATGAAGCCCACACATATAACTACGTTTTCATTAATAAATGTTCTCGATATTGTCATATTTATCATCATACATGATGTCTTTTGGAGACATCCGATGAAATTGAAATGAGATATAGAGAAGATTAGCATGATCCTGTGGCACGCATAAATTATCATACAAATTGTGGAATTTTTTTTTTTTTGTGATTATGTAAAGATATTATAGGTTCTAATCAATTGCCACACATAAATTGGGTGTTAATATTTATTATATAAATGAATAATTTGTTACAGATCATATTATTATTTGATATGTAATGCTAGGTTGAGTCAGCAGATTTCAAGTCACTATTATTATTATTATATATAATGTCATGATCAAGGAGTTGTTGTAAGGATTTTCAGACCTGTATATTTAATTGTCCAAGGGAATAATCTGTGGTTTCATTCTGTTATTCCAAATGATAATACAGTTAGCTAGTTAGTTGACGATTTTTGCTTCTTAATTAGTAGAGAATCGTAATCTCATTTGTAGAATTAATCAATTTGTATGGCATTTTTCTCTTCTGATGAGTAGTTCATCTGGGATTATAGTATAGATAATGAATTTCTTCACTGTAGAGAAGAGTCGCGTGGATATCTATTACACCGTTTGAATTCTGAAGCATTAAGTAATAATTTGATTAGTTTTATAAATAACCACACATGTCCTAATTACGTAGCATACTGAGAGGGGCATATATAGTTTTCTTATAAGGCTACCAACAATTACTGCCAAGCAGCATGAACAAAATAATATTCTTAGAACTTAAATCGATAGCTCAATTTTCCGTGAATTATATCCAACATTGAATTTCAGAGACCACGTACATCGAAATCTTGATTACTTTCCGCACAACTGTATGATTGTTTGTAGTACCTCAAACCAACAAGTAAACTGAAACGACTATCTCATAAATAAGTATATTTTTTTATTGATCAGGGAGACATATATTCCAAAGAGCCCGCAGACGGCCATGGTCCATTCACCATTGCTAAATGCTAATTCGATACGTATTTTATTAGAACTTTAATTAACTTGTTTATCTTGTAGCGAACATTTAATAAGCTAAATTTGATTATAGTTTGTGCAAATTTAGTCTATATATAATTTTTTTTTTTTTGCTGCACTCACTTTTTTTTTCATTCAATGCACTCGCCTCATTAATGTTATTTTGAGCAGGCGATCCATGTGAAAAAGAAGTCAATAGTCACTTATGGTATGATGGACAAGAACACACATGAATTTATACAAAAACCATTCAACATTTACTTTAATTTGAATGATTTAAGGTTTAGGGAATTACCGTTAGGGTTAACTCTACAATTTGGGGTTTTGGGTTAGGATTCAAAATTGAAGTTTAAGGGTTTAGGCTAATGGATTGATTAGTTGTGATTCTATTTTATATCATCATATTAGACTATTGCTACCAATTAAAGTTCAAAGTTTAATATATTATGTCACTTTTATAGTTGTTTGCATTGAATACACCCAAAAAAATGAGTGAACCGACGTAATAGTACACTACCAGCACCGCCTGGTAAGGGAAAAAGTAAGACTTATAAGTTTTTTCATTAATCGCATGGTATATTAGATGGGAACCGATTAATTTGAGGTGTGTTATGATTTATGACTTTGGATAATAGGTTATCATGATGGAATATTTACATGTGCTTAGTGCATTGTTAACTAATGTACCAAGTGACGAGTGTCATTTGGGCATATCATCTCGCAATACATTGAAATTCAGTGGCGGAGTCACATTAAATTTGGGTGTATAACCTCATCGATTTTAATGAAGTTAAAAGAGTAAAAGTCCATATAAATTTTGTAATAAGTTTAGCAAATAGATTAGCGGATAACGGTTTAGTTTTCTACCTCAATTACTATAGTTCGAATCCTTCAACATAACCTTTTTAACTTCTTTTATGAGTTCGCCCATTGCCATTCAACGAGTCCATAAATATTAGGCCGGCAGTGGTAAGGCGATGAACGATCATCAATTCATCATATACACGACACGGATCAATTTTGAAAGTTGAATTTCAAGTCGCTATTCCTCCTGCTTTGAACTCATCAAAAGGTCAAATTTCCTGGACTTATTTTAGGGGTTTAAACTCCCATTTACAACGTAAAAAGACAAAAAATAGCACGAAAGATGGCGAAAGGGGCTGCTCCAACTCGATCAAATCTTGAAGGAAGACCTTTGACCTCTTCAAACCCATTTTTTTATACTAATATTATCACTACATTTGGGAAATAACTGTATCAGGATTTCTGTCTCCCTCCCTCGCATGACATGCTTATTCATATATGGTCTCCAAATCATCATTATTCATTCATCATCAATAAAATCCTACTTGTTTATCAGGAAAGTTTTCTTTATTGATAATGAATATTCTTCTGTTTGCGAGTTCCAAAAAGCCCCTGTACTACAACTTTTCCCTATACTTAAAACTTAAGTCATTGACGAAATTATTTTAAAATAAATAAACAAATGATAATCATCTTCTTCGATTTAATGCAAGCTTATTGATCCTTTCAGTTATTTTTAATGTTTTGCATTATTCAATAGGGGATGTCCAAAATTTCGATTGACGGTGTTAAAATTCAAACGCGAGATTTTAGTCATAGTTCTGATCATTCTCTTTAGAGATGTTTATGAGAGATAGGGTACCATAATAGGAGGAGCGTTAATAGGTGCAATCGGAGATTCAAACCATAATTTCTAGATTGAAAGCCGACTGTTTGACAACTCGGAATTTACCCGTGCTCAACTCTCACTTACCAGAATATGACCGTGGATTGGGAAGCTTTGCTTAATCATGAGGCTATAGAAGTTTATGACAAGTCGGATGAATCTAATATGGAAGAGAACAAGTATGATCTACAATGACCTACAACTCACGTGACCAAAGAAACGGAAAAAGATAATCAAAACCGGCTAAATTTAGGTCCTATTCTTTAGAATGCTAGGAAGACAATACTTTTTTTGGTTTTCATAGGGAAGAAGATCCATAGCTAGTGGGAAAGTTAAGTACAGTTGATGTAGCTAGCCTTGGAAATGACTACTACATACCATTTTTGTGTTTAGACCCTAGTCTTGTTGGCTATGGAACATGTCTTTTCAATCCTTCAACTTAAACAAGTTTAGAATGGAATACCTTTATGGATGATTGGCCGATCATCATACGAGGAAGCAGGACAGATCTGGGTCGACTAAGCATGAGTGGAAGACGATGAAGATGGGCTGCTAGGGGGCTAGCTTGGATTATGACCAATTCCGAATCCATCTAGACGGCAACAACAAAGTCATAGAGTGGAGCAATCTCGTCCTGCAAGGGGTGGTGGAAATGTGACTAAGAACAGTCAGAAGCGGGTGAAATCTAAGATACTGGATTGAGAGGAATCAGGTGGAAGGCTCAATGTGAAGGATGAATATGAGGATACCATATCTGAAGGGTGTCTTTCCAACCCGTATATAGAGAACAGTGGGAATAATTTTGAGTTGAAGATTCGTTCAGCTCCTCCTACATAGACCTTTTCTCGACCGCAGGGGATGGGCCATGTTAGGAGTGTTGTTGAAGATTTTTTTTTTTTATAATGTCGAAGATGCATTGATATGGAAATGAGAAAAGGAACAGACAAAGGTCTTGGTTCACTAGCAATGAACCCAATAGTAGGTACCACTACTAATGCTAGAGCGGAGCTCGCGATGAGGGAGAGAGTGAGAGATCAAGAGAGTGCGAGGCATCTCGGGGTTAAGGGTAAGGTTAATCGCCGTTTGGTCTCTTTTTGCAGGTCGGGAGCGGCTGGGCTCGGAAGCGGCGGTGAAGCGCGAGGTGAGGCGTGTTACCAACAAGTGGTTTTGGGTTCCAAGGTTGTAGCAGTCGGAAAGGAGGTGCCCACTCGAAAAGGAGGATACCGGATTCAGACCCAGGAGGGGGTGAAGAAGTGGTACATAATCTTGGACGAAGACCTGTTAGCTTGGTTGCAGGGGGTGCTGCAAACGGCGGCGAGAAAGGATTGGTGGTTTCCGAAAGGATGCGTGAAGAACAGTGAGAACCGTACTATTCATGTTGGAAGGGGTAGAAACCGTCGGGGATCATACCTACAAATATTTGAGCAAACATGGGACAACAGGGTTTTCAAGATTATCATTCCAGCCATGAATGGTGGTTGGGCTCCGGTTATAAGCTTGTTGCAAGACTTCTATGCTAAGGAGCTCTCGTTGCGAGTCAAGTCCGGCACGTCCCTACTTGGTTCAGACGAAGGGTCGGCTACTGTTTTGAATGTCGAACAAGCCAGGTTAGTTCAGGGCAAGTCTTTTGCTGATGCTGTTAAGGGCGTGGGATTTTATGGTGCTGGGTCCTGTGAAATCATGAAGACTGGAAGGGACAAGTATATCCAGGTGGGACAGAAAGGCATTTCAGAGAGGAAAGAATTGCTAGGGCGTTGTCTCATCCTGACGTCGAGAGCCTTCAGTGCAGGAAATCTCAGCAGCTTCAGGAAGTGGGCTAGTAGAAACTGGGCAATTGACGGCAATTTTATGTTAGAAGATAGATCGGATGGAAGCTGGATGCTAATCTGTCCCAGTGTGAAGGAAGCGCTCCGAATCAAGAATCTTGACCATCTGAGTTTTGAGGGTGCTCATATCCATATTACGACCTGGAACGAGAATGATGAAGTGATAGCTGACGGCGACACATGGATCACTGCGTTCAACATCCCATTGCACCTTAAGAGCGTTGATCTTCTAATGGCGATTGGGAATTTTTGTGGTGAATTCAGGGAGATTGATT